CGCCGGTTTGCCTTTCATTGTCGTTGCTTATCTGCGTGCGCGCCATACTCGTGAGTGTGTGTGAGTGCGTGAGCGTGACGCCAGCGCCTCTTCCGCGTCAGGCCGTCCCAGGCCGTCTCCCCGCCCCGTCGGTCCGCGGTCCGCTGTCCGCACAAAGGCTCATATTTGAAAGAAAACGGCGCCGCGCTCCGCGTTGCGTTCCGCCACTCGGCGTGTGATTCGCCGGCGCCACAGCGACTCGCACAGCGACGCCGGCCGCGCTGCTGCCGAACAGTGCGCTGTCGTCGCTCGCTGTCTCTCTCGCACTCGCGGGGTGTCCCATGGCGAGAGAGACAGCGATGGAGTACTTCAGTTCGGAATCGGTCCTCCTTCTTGGATCGCGTGACGCCGCCGATGGGCCTTGCCTGGTTGGTTGGTCCTGGTTGGCAGCGACCGGAAATTCGACTCGAATCTCGGAATGAGATCACCATATGGGCCATGGGCCGCCATGTTGTGCCCTCGGCCCTCGGCCATGCGGTATTCTCTCGGCGTGTGGCTCTTCCCCGTCGTAATTCCGTCGACGGGCACACACACACACACACACACACCCCCCCCCCCCCACACACACACACACACACTGAGTCCCACTCGCCGGCCATGTGCGCAGGCTTCAGGCCCGTAGCGCCGCGTAGCGCCCTGCGAGCTGCGAGGGCCCAGCTCTGAACAAAGGGCGACAGTGCGTCGCGGGGCGGGGCGCGGCGCGGCGCGGCGCGGCGGGGTGACCCTTTGGAAAGTAGGCAATGGCTCGTTGTGTCACGGCGGCGCCCCCGCCACCTCCCTACCCGCGCCTCGCGCCCCGCGCCCCGCCACCGCCTTGGTTTGTATGGCTCCGAGCAAACAGGAAGCGGAGATCGGGTAGCGATCCACTGCGGTGCCGACCGGGGCGACGCGACGCCGGGGCCTACACTACAAGGGCCTGGGGGGCCTGCCGCGGCCTGGAGGGGGTCCACAGGGAGTGGCAGCCTGGACTGGCGGCGCGGCGCGGCCCCTTCGACTCCCACACATTACTTACACCATCACCGCCATGGCCACGACGACGCGCCGTGCCGCGTCCGTCGCCGCGCCGCGGAACGGGCCGCTCCCGTTTCAGAGCCGCGTCCTGGCCGGCCAGGACTCGCGCGACTCGCGGTGGCCGACGTGCCGCGACGTGCCGCGACGTGCTGCCGACGTCTTGCTCCTTTTACACCCCGCCTTTTGCCTTCGCCTTGGTCATTTGACGCTCGGCCCGGCAGTGCCAGTGGCGGCCCGGCTCGGGTGTCGTTTGGTCCGGGAGCCGCGCTGAGTTTCGGCGTGATCGTTTTCAGAGCCGTGGCGACGCGGAGAGGCACTTGGAGAGGCGGGAGCCGTTTTGTCGCCCTGACTCTCTCACACTCATGCGGCGTCGTGCGTAGGTGCGAGAGAAACAGCGACGAAAACGGCTCACGGAATCAGTCTGCAGGACGGAGCGGCCTGGCCAGGGAAAGTGAAGGGAACTGCCCCACGGCGGTGCATCAGGTGCCGTACGCGCGTACAGCGCTTCCGTCGCCCTGTCTCGCTCGCACCCGCCTGGGACGCACCAAGAGTATGAGAGAGACGGGTGCTGTCCTGCCGATGGCCGAATGGCGTGCTCATGGGCGGGGCAGGGACAGTGTCCCAGGGACACAGTGGCCGAGGACGTGTCGCGAAAGCCATCCCATGTGCAACCGGCGCGGCCTTGGGCCCTCATGGCCCCCGCATGGCCCCTGGCCCCGCCTCGCATGGCCAATCAGGCCGGTTGAAAGTGGACTGCCGCGGACTTGGTGTGTGGATTTCGCTCGTCGCTCTCGTTTCGCTGTTTCCTCCTCCTCTTCCCTCCTCCTCGGCCTCCTATTTCCTCCCAGTCTGCGTCTCCATTTTGAAGGCGTCTCGGTCGCGCGACGAGGCGTGACGCAGGCCGGCGATAAGGTATCGACGGTGACGTGCTTCGACTGTTTTTCTGCCCTGCAAATCATCCTGGCCATCCTCGCGGCCTCGTTAAATTTACTTCCTCCTCCTCTCCTCCTTCTTCGGCACCGCCTTGGCTCCGCCATGGTACCCGGAGCCGAGTGCCGAGTGCGCGCCAGAGGCTCCCGCGGCGGCGTCTGCGACTAATTGATCGAGCATCGCATTTGGTTGCCAGAGTCGTTTCGGTTTTTTCGCTCCTTTTTTCCCCCTCCCGGAATGGAGCGTTTGCCATGGACTGTTGCGAAATACGCGTCAAACAGTACCGCTCTGCTTCGAGGCTGAGCGACGTCGCGTGTGTGAGTGTGTGAGTGATGCGTGTGTGTGAGTGTCGCTTCGCGTGAAGGCGATTCTCAGCAGCAGCCATGGGCGCGTCACGTAAGACGCGCGCAAATGCATGCACACGGCATTGAGCGTGACATCAAACGCAGCAGGCTGATTCCGAACTGTGCCTCGTCTCTCTCGCACTCCCATGGAACGCCCCGTGAGGGCGAGAGTAAGAGAGAGACAGCAACTGTTGGGAATCGGCGTGCAGCCGGTCGCGTCACGCCGGTGACACACTGTATCGCACGGCGCGGCGTGGCGGCGTGGTGGCGCACTGGGAAGGCGACGCGCTCTATCATTATACGGCCCCTTCTAGTCTCCCAGGCCTTCCAGGATGCGGACGCCGCGGACGCGAGGCCAGGCCGTCGGTCCCGTCCCCGTCGGCCACCTTCAGGGCATCCCTGGCCGTCGTCTGGGTCTCGGGGCGTTCCCACCGCTCGCGCGGTTCGGTTCCGCTGAGCGTGCCGCCGCCGCCACTGCGTCGGTGTGCCGGCCGCCTGGCGGCGCCGCTTGCCGCCGCGCCGCGCTGTCGCGCAGGGCTGCCTACCCCCGCTCTGGCGGGCGCTCCGCTGCTCCGCTCGCGCCGCTCTCTGTCTCTCTCTTTCTGTTTCTCGGCGCGGTGCTGCCGGTCGGCACGGGCCGGGCCAGGGCAGGCCGCCGCCACGCGCCGCTGCGGGCCACGGGCGCCACGGGCCACGCGGTTGAGCAACAGGCGCGGCAATGGCACCTGTCTAGCCCTGTCTCCTGCAGAGCCGCCGCGGCGCAGCGCAGCGCAGCGCCCACGATGCAAGCGGTAACGGCAAGCCCAGCCTGGCGCTGCCTGGAGCTGTGTGAGGCAAGGACGTCGCCGCCCACGTCCACGCAATCAAATTTTGTCGCGCGCGGCGGGGTGGCGGGTTCGAATCCTGTCGGTGCTGCTGCTTTTCGATGTGCGGCTTCGAAGGCCCGCCTGTCCTCCGTGCGAGTCCGGCTTGAACGCTAGGCGGGTCCCAGACGCCCCTCTCGTCCGCCTCGTCCTCGCTGAGGGCAGCGCGATTTGCAAGTGAGCAGTGTTCGGCGAGGCGGCGAGGCTGCGAAGCTCGGCCGTACAAGGCCTAGGCGTGGCCAAGTAGCGTCGGCTGTCTGCTTATGGCGCAGTGCGGCCCTGCAGCTGCAACGCCGCTCGGCCCCGCGGCTGGCTGACAGGAGACGCGACCACCGCCGCGCCGTGCACTGGGATGTCAACACGAGGAGGACGAAGATGATGACGCCGGGGAGTGGCGTGGCGCGGCAGCGCGGCACGTCACGACTCAGTGAATGAGAGGTCTCCCTGTCAGCACCACGACGTCGACCGCGTCGATCCGATGCGAAATTGGATTGGTGGGAAGTGGGTCGCGGCGTGGCCGAGCGCGGCTGCCCCTCGGCCAACTCCATGATGCCCGTCACTGTGAAAACTTTCGCACGGGGGGCATGGCATGGGATCAGCGGCGCGGCGCCATGCTGGGCCTTATCCACGCTTGTCCCGCTATCTATATCTATTAGCGACCTCGACCGCCTTTGTGGCGCCACGGCCCTCGGCCTCTCGGCCTGCTTGGCCTGCTGCAGCGGGCGAGCCAGTGCGTGCTAAAACGGCCCCTTTTTGTCGTGTTGCAGGGAGTGGCCGGGTCCATCCGGCCCTGCTGGCCCCACGGGCCCTGCTGGGGCGCCCCAGCAGCTTTCCGTGGTGACGTCGGTGTGGGGCAACCCCGGCGGGGTGTCTTCCGGCAACGCCGGCAACGCGGGCAACGCGGGCAGCGGCGTCGGCACCAAGCAGACGGCCTGCACCACCGCCCCCACCACGGCGGCGACCACCACCACCACCACTAGTTCGGCTCAGTTCCACAACGTGTACCGGCAGACGCCCCCGACCAACGGGTAAATATCTCTCTCCTTGTTGCCGCGGCCGGGGCACCTTGGCGTCGCTCTGCCCTGTCCTGCCCTGTCCTGCCCGCCTTGCCTGTCGGTGGGCAGCGGCCTTGGACACGGCGGCCTTGGGCAGGCCTGCGTCGAGGCCTCGGCACGCTTTCGTAACTCTGTTTCGGCCACTTGCGTTTCGTTTTCGTGCAGTCGCTTGCTTTGGTGCATACCTTTACGAGTCTGTACAGTGCACGGGCCCGTCGATAAGACCTGGGCGTATTCTATCGTGGCTCATGTTGCACCCATTGCACCTGTCGTAGGCACTAGTCTGCAAGTACTGAAGTGAAAGGAAAATGGCCTCTAGTAAAATGAAAAGTAACCAAAGTACAAGATAAATATTAAACCGCTTGGTGGGCGCGCCACCTGTAGCCTCGCACTGCGTAGCTCCGCGTAGCTCCGCGTCGCCCTGCGCGGCTCCCGCTTCCTCCATTAGCACGCCTCTCTCTGTGTTGTAGCGTACCTGGTGCCTCTGGACCAAGGGCTCGGCCTTCTGTCCGCAGGGCGGCGGGGGCGGGCTATGGTCCTTCGGGTGGAGGCGCCGTCGGCGTCCCCGGGGGCGTGGGCGTCCCTGGGGCGGGCCCGGGGAGCTCCGGCGGGCCGGCGGGGGTGGGGCAGATGAGCGCGGGGGTTGGCACCCCCGGCCAGCCCCCATCTGGGGCCAGCGACGCCCCGCAGCAGCCCAGCAGCGCCTCTCAGCCCGGCCAGGGCGGCGCGGGCACGCAGTCCCAGCAGCAGCCCCAGCAACAAGCCCAGCAAGGGCAGCCCCAGCAACAGGCCCAGCAAGGCCAGCAGCCAGGCCAGCAGCAGCAGGGCCAGCAGCAGCCCTCGCAGCCCGGCCAGCAGCAGGCGTACTCGTCGTCGGGGATGGTGGCCACCAACACGGCCACCTCCACAGCCTCCGGCATGCAGCACGACGGCAGCGGCCAGTTCAACCAGGTCAGTGTCCTGCCCGTCGTCCTGCCGTCCTGCCGCGCGCTGGCGCAGGAACACTGCCTAGCTGATAAGCCCCATTCCAGTCGCGTAAAATCCGTGGAACGCCGCGGCGATTTACATGTCCAGCTCTAAATTGGATGAACCTCCGGGTCCCTGGCCGCGTTAGATATATTCCTCGTCGACAGCCATGAGGCGGGGCGCGGAACGCGGAGCACGGAGCAGCGCGGAGCAGCGCCAGCGGAGTGCCGGAGTGGCGCAGTGGCGGCCGCCCGCTCCATTCCGGGGAAGGACATCAAGGGCTTTGGCACGCGTCCACCGCGCGCCGCGCGCACCCCAGCGGACTGTGTCGCGCTGTCCCTCTCGCACTCACGGTGCGCCCCGGAGGCGTACACGAGAGACGGAACGACGAAGCAGTGATCGGAATCGCTCTGGTGGCGTTTTATTAGAATGCCCGGCACGGCAGGCGGCGCGGCGCGCGCGGACCTACCTCGGATTATGGAAACAGTCTGCGCGACCGAGACAGAGACAGACACGGCAGACGCGCATGGCAATGAGGCAATGACGACCCGCGGAACTTTCCGCCGCGCCGAGCCGTCACGCCGAGCAGACGCGACGAGTAGGCAAACCTCGCGTGGTCATCTGCCAGATCGCGTCCGAGTCCGCGTCCGCTGCAGCGTCGCGGCGCCCAAATGGCGCGGCGCACGTGCCTGGCCGCGGCGGTGGCGCCGCGACGCCGCGCAGCACCGCGCCATGGTCGCGCAGCGTCCGGTGGGCATTCCGGCATTTCGGCATCGCCGATAAGAATGACGCTGACATCACGGCGGAATTGTCGAAACGGAGCGTCATCGTGGCGGCCGCAGCCAGGCCGCAGCGCACCGCGTTCCTCGTACTGGGCCCGGCCCGGCCCGGGCCTTCCCCTCCCGTCCGCCCGTCCGCGTCCGCCCGGCTTCCCTTCGCCCGCCGTGCCCGCTTCGCTCGTCTCGCCTTCGCCCCTCCCCCGATTTAGTTCAATTTGATTCTGGTCGGTGCCAAGCGCTCGAAAATAACCGGCGGGCATTACTGCTGCACGGCCAGCCGGGAGCCGCCACGCGCGGCGTGGCGTGCCGCGCCGCCGGCCGGTCGGGGTGCGCCGCGCGCGGTGCAGTGCGGGCAGGACGAGGCGGGGCGAGGCGCGGCGAGGCGCGGCACTGAGACGTCGACGACGCGCCCGTTATAGGGAGCGCAGGGAAAGAGTTGCTGTGCTGCGCCGTGCTGCGCCGTACTGCGGCGGCTAAAGAGCGTCGAGCCGAGGTCGCGCGGGACCAACAAGCCGATTCCGTCTCCGTCTCTCTCGCTCTCGTGAGGTGTCCCGTTTGAGTGCGAGAGAGACGGAGCGACGAAAACACTGCTCGGAATCGGCCTGCAGCCACGCCAATGGGTGGATGGAGCTCGCGGCTTGCGGCCACAGAAATAGACAAAGCGCGCCGCGCCCGCCGCACTCCCCAAGCAATGACTCGAGCGATTTCACTCTAATTTCCGTGTCCTGTCCGGCGCGCCGAGGCGGAGACGCGGTGACGTACGGCCGGGGAAGACCAGCGAGTAACACCTCTTGTCTCTCTGTTGCAGATGGGCCATGGCATGCAGCAGGGCGGCCCGGGCCAGTACTACGGCGGCCGCAACCACATGGGCATGGGCATGAACGGCATGAGCCCCATGAACTCCATGAGCCAGATGGGCATGATGGGCCAGCACGCTCAGCATGCCCAGCACGGCAATATGATGGGCGGCATGGGCGGTATGGGCAACATGTCTCCCGGCATGGGCCCCAACATGAACAACATGGGCCACATGGGCATGGGCCCCAACGGCAACATGAACCACATGAACATGAACATGAACAACATGGGCATGGCGCCGAACATGGGCAACATGGGCCAGATGAACAGCATGGGGCCCGGCAGCATGAACAAGATGGGCATGCAGGTTAGTAACCTTGTCGTCCTGATCGTCATGATAAAGCTGTGCTTTGGGTGCTTGGGCGCGCGCTGACACTTTGACTCTGTTTGTTGCAGAACCAGATGTACCCCCGGAGGCTGGCGCCGTACCCGAGTCCAGCGCTCCACATGTCGCAGAAAAGACCCGCCGCCTACCCCACCGGCCAGCAGTACCCTGGCTACACCAACAGGCCCAACTTCCAAGGACAGTACCCCCAGCAGGCCATGGGCCCTGGCGGCAACATGGCCGGTAGCATGGGTCCCGGTGCCAACATGGGTGCGAACATGGGCCCCGCAGGGGGCATGGGCCCCACTGGAGGCATGGGCCCCGCTGGAGGCATGGGCCCCACTAGTGGAATGGGTCCTTCAGGAGGCATGGGTCCCTCTGGGGGCATGGGCCCAGCCGGGGCAATGGGACCTTCTGGTGGCATGGGTCCTAATGCAGGCATGGGGCCCAACACTGGCATGGGTCCCTCCGGAGCGATGGGTCCAACCGGAGGCATGGGCCCCACCGGAGGTATGGGCCCTGCCGGGGGCATGGGACCCAACGGGTCCTTCCCTACCGCGGGCGGGCGCGGTGCCATGAGGCAGTCCACGCCGCCCTACACTGCCGCTAGTCAAGGAGGCCACCAGTACTTTAGCAGTGGCAGCAGCAACCTCCCGGGCAACATGCCCAGCAACATGGCGGGCAGCATGCCGGGCAACATGTCGAACAGCATGGCCGGCAACATGCCCAGTGGCATGGCCGGCAACATGTCGGGCAACATGTCGGGGGCTATGGCCGGCGGCATGACCAACAGCATGTCCAGCAGCATGCCGGGCAACATGAGCAGCTCCATGGGAAGCAACATGTCCAGCAGCATGCCGGGTAACATGCCCAGCAACATGGGGAACAGCATACCTGGCAGCATGCCTGGCAGCATGGCGGGCAGCATGCCCGGTGCCATGTCTGGCAACATGCAAGGACCCATGGCCACCTCCATGCCCAGCCACCACAACGGCAGCAACTGTCAGCCCTTCTCCAACCACCACCAAGGTAAGCTCATCACCCTCTTTCTCTTCTTTAAGGTTTGGAGTTCACTTCCAGTGCCCCCAGAGACTTGACGTCGTGACTGTTTCGCTCTCAGGACCCGGCGGGCCGGGCGGCTACGGTGGCTCAGGCGGTGGCAGCGCTTCAAGTGGTGCGGGTGCAGGAGGAGTGGGGCCTGGACCCTACGCCGGCGGGGTGGGCCCTGGAGGCCCTGTAGGCCCTGTAGGCTCGGGAGCAATGAGTTACCAAGGGAATGCTGCGGCCAACAGCCCCAGCGTCGGCGTCGGCTCCGCAGCGGGGTCCGTTCAGGGCCCCGGCACGACTACGGGGGGCCCCGGACCCGGACCGTACACCTCCGGGTCAGGGACTATGAGTTACCAGCATAGTCCGATCCCCGGCAACCCCACACCACCTCTGACGCCTCAGCACCCGGGCTCCATGCCCTACGCTAGTCCGGGCGGTGGGGACGTCAAGCCAGCGCTACCTATCCAAAGTAAGTGCAGGGGAAGAGGTTTCAAGGACCGTTGTTCCTTAGAAGAAGGACAACATTGTTTTTAGTTCCATTTTACTGTTGGTTTTTAAACTGAAATATGTTGTGTTTTCTCCTTTAGAAGACGACGAATTGAGGCTGACATTCCCTGTACGGGATGGCATAATTCTTCCTCCTTTCCGACTGGAGCATAATCTTGCTGTGAGCAATCATGTTTTCCAATTAAAACCCACCGTTCATCAAACCCTCATGTGGAGGTAAGAGCTTGGGACTCCTTATGTTACGCCTCACTTATGAAACAAGATGAAAACTTCTAAATATAATTGTCTTGTCTCTTCTTCTTTCAAATTTTAGGTCAGATTTAGAATTACAATTAAAGTGCTTCCACCATGAAGATCGGCAAATGAATACCAACTGGCCAGCCAGTGTGCAGGTGTCAGTTAATGCTACACCTCTCTCAATTGACAGAGGTGAAAATAAAACCAGTCACAAACCCCTGTACCTAAAAGAAGTCTGCCAGCCTGGAAGAAACACAATACAAATTACAGTTTCTGCATGCTGTTGTGTGAGTCTTCATAAATTATTATCTCTTGAAATTATTGTATGGTAACTTCAAATGTTGTTCTATTGTCTAATTTTGTTTTTTTGTTTTCATGCAGTCCCATCTCTTTGTCTTGCAATTAGTTCACAGGCCTAGTGTACGAAGTGTACTCCAAGGTCTACTTAGGAAACGATTACTTACAGCAGATCACTGCATCAATAAAATTAAAAGAAATTTCACCAGCGGTGGTGGTGCAACGGGAACAGGATCTGGTACTATATGCTCTGATAGAGACGGTGTTGAACAAACAGCTCTGAAGGTAGTTTACTTGAGGACATTCTAATATTGTCTCTCAATGAAAAGTGGTTGTTATTTTTCTTTTTTCTCTGTTTATAGGTATCATTAAAGTGTCCTATCACATTCAAACGTATCACTCTACCTGCTCGTGGCCATGACTGCAAGCACATTCAATGTTTTGATCTCGAATCCTATTTACAAATGAATTGTGAACGTGGTTCATGGAGATGTCCTGTGTGCAAGTATGTACAAAGCCCGTAGTTCGCGCTTTGAAAGTTACACAATAATGAATACGTTTTACTCATATCATTTTTTTCTTACAGTAAACCAGCACAACTGGAAGGGCTAGAAGTTGATCAATACATGTGGGGTATTCTAAATACTCTCAATTCCTCTGAGGTGGATGAGGTCACCATAGATTCAGCTGCTAACTGGAAACCTACCAAGAACTTACAACCTGGCATAAAGGTAGTGTACTATTTGGAGCTAATTATTTTCTAATACTTAGCAGACTTATTACAGGAGTAATACATTTATTTTTTTCCTTCTTAGGCTGAGGATGGGGAGAATGACACATGTGGTGCTAAACGACTCAGCAAGGCTGTATCACCAAGCAGTATGACATTGCCCACCATGAATAATTGGGATACCACTCAAGCCATGTCACCTTATATTCCACCTGACATGAATAGTAAGTGCTTGTTTTCTGTTATTTATTCACTTCATAACTTTAAAATAAAGTTAAAATTTTGTGATTTTTTTCCCTCTCCTTTATTCTAATGCAACTATGTTGAATATTACAGGTATAGCAAGTGGATCAATGATGAGCAATAACACATCTTTCAATAATAGCAATATGCAAAGAGGAGGAGGCGGCCCTGCATCCAATAGTGGTCCTGGCAGCAATTCATATGACTTCCCTGGTAGTGGGTCAAACAACCAAGGTAGTAATGATTACAATAGCCCAGGTGGCCCACTATCACACCTAAGTGAATCTGTGAACTCTCTAGACCCCTTAAATGCAATGGAAAAGAGTTTAAGTGAACAGGTCAGTTACAACGCTTTGTCATTACTTAAGATTTTAAATTTTACTTGATGTGTAATGCCATTACTTATCGCCGTTTTATTGCATTTTTTTTGCAGATGCCACACACTCCTCACACCCCACATACTCCTCATACACCTCACACTCCCAATGGTCCACCCAGTGTACCACCACCTGGATCAGTCGATAACACCTCTAGCACAGCAAATAATAGCGCCAATAATTCTGCAACAACCCTCACAGATGCTGATATTCCATCAGATCTTAACTTTGACCCAGCAGCAGTCATAGATGGTGAAGGAACAGGCCAGGAAGCATTGAATGTAAGCACAAGGCAAAGATTTATATGGTTTGGTATTTTCTTTATCCCTTACAATTTTGACCAACTGTTCTGCCTTTTATTTTTCTGCAGCTCCTCCCTGATAGTATGGTGGATCCTATGGAGCTTTTGTCATACTTGGACCCACCTGACCTGGCAACACCACCATCTTCTGGGGCCAGTAGTAACGGCAACAATGTCAACACCACCTCTGATGATATTCTGGCGCTATTCGAGTAGTTGCCAGACTCCTAGCCTAGACAGCATTCTGTGATCATAGACCTATGGACCCTTTCTCAAAACATCAATGCACTTACATTCTTGCCCAAAGTTCAAGGACTTTTAACTTTGAGCAAACTTGATTTGTTTATTGAGTGTTCTGTGCAAAGACAACAAAGAGAATATTTATTTATTAAATAGTAATTTTTAAAGAAAAGAGCAACTTTTATGAAATCAAAATCAATCTAAGATGAAAATAGGTGAATGTATTATTAAATAATAATAATATTATTATTATCACTATTATATGAAAGAGTTCCTTTTGCAAAGTATTGCTAGTGTGAGAACAAAGTGATAGCAGAACATAACTGTTCATGCATTTTTGTTTTAATATAAAGTTACTAATTTTTGAAAGGAAATGTTGACAGTTGTCATACATGATATAGTGATGTGTTCCTTCTTACAAAGACTATGTGACATACTGATTGACAACATGCCATACTGTCAGTATGTGTGTGTCTGTGTCACTGCCAGTGTGAAAGAAGATGTGTATATTGGCCCCCATCAAATGTGCCAACTGCTCTGTATCATGTGGACACTGTGCGGACCAGTCTCGACAAGGGTGCAGAGGAGTCAATGTGCAGATTCAACTTGTCAATTCAGAAGATTTATGCATCCTATGGTCCTGCCCCCTCCTCTGTTCCTAGGGACCAACAGGGCCGCTTAATCAATTGCATCTCATGAATACAGCTGTAAGTCTGCCACTATTTGCTGGCACTATTCAAAAAAGCAATTTATAAACAATAAGGTATTGCAGCTAACTTTGAATCATTTTGGCATTGCAAACTATTGTGAGGTGGTCCACATAATCACATTTAATACTTAAAGCAAGTGTGTGGCATAGATTTTTGTAGTGCGTTTTACATTGCATTTAAAATAATAATGAGTAGCATTTGTGGCTGGTTTTCGAGTGTTCCTCTTCACTGAAAAAATTTAGAGCATTTGTGTTTCGGACCTTGAATCCTAAAGCCTTGCATTGCAGACAAGCTAAATTTTTGAAAAGAGCAGTTGAGAGTGTGGTGTTTATGAAGTTCTTTTGCTCGCAAGTGAATCTAAATTATGAATCCAATAACAAAATTAAAAATTTTCTTATGGCACAAGGAAAAAATAGTCAATGTCATCAGGTTTAGCCAAGCGATTGAGGAGGATTTTTTTATGTCTTTGGTCGTCTCATTGGTGGTCAATTAAAAAGTGACACTTAGCTGTAAAATTTATGCCCACCTAACGGCAGTAATTTTATTGTGATATTAATTTTATCAGCTTTAGCACTTTTGACTGGCTTAAATTTCAAAATATAAAACTGAGTTTAAGGAATGATTGAGATTGTTTTTTCTTGTCATTTCCTAGGTTTTGAAGTTGCCCGAAAATTGATTCATCTTGAGACTTTATTATGAAACTTTATACATCTGGCAGTGACATACTCAGGTTGTCATCAAAAGACTGAGAGGGGCCTCAAGTGGGGGGAAAGCCTAGCAATACCACTTTGTGTTATTGTTGTACAGGAGAATCAAATAAGGCATTATCTGTACCCCTACTGCATAGTTTTGTCAATTTGTTTAGATACCTGTAATCTAGTTAAAGTGGATTAATTCCTCTCCTCCATCTTCATGTTATTGATTTTCATATGATTTCACCTCAAGAGAGCTACACATCATAATATGTAATATTCATATTGCATAGTTGCACATATTACATTCTGAAGGAACAGCTACCCATGAGGGCTACTATCCTTCTCACACTCGAAAAGAATAACAAGGATGAGATCTTTCAAAAAGAAATCTGCATTGTGGTTTGCAAGACATATGATTGCCAAATTCTAAAGAAATAATCTGTGATACTTTTGGTTTTGTGAAATTTTAGTAAAGTAAGTGTGCTGTTTGCAAATATATTTGTTGCCATTGTTAATAATAATGTATGAGCAAAAGAACTTCACAGCAATGTGTCTTCTGTGTATGCATATTCTATTTAATTTGTGGTTTGTCCCAATGTGGTGTGACTATACATTGAAGGACAGATTGTTTTTATGTACCTGACGGGCAGATGTAGGGATCAAATTCAGTTCAAGATAGTCTCTTGAGTAAGTATATCTGCTCATTGTTGTGGCAGGGGGAGACACAATTTTTATACATTTTCATTTGCCCTCCACCTTTTCTTTCTTCATTTTTTTTCTATTTTGGTATCAAATTGTTTAAAAGCTTTAAGTTACAATTGGCTATGTTTCTGCCCTTAGAATGCCTTCATTTTTCAAACTATTCATTAAGATTATGCTAGTAGTAGGGATTTCATGTCATATGCTCTGAGGGCTGTATTTTAGATGAGAAATAAAAGCTTTGTATTATAATTTTGCAGATAAATATTAATGCAATTGTATTTAAAAAAAAAAAAAAAAAAACTCGCTTCAGAGGGTTTAGTCATGAAAGAGGGAACCCCTTTCTTTTCAAAGAATCGGACTTTCTGAGGCATTTCTATAGAATATGTTTTGTGTTCCTAAGCATTCCGTTTGCACCACATTGTGACAGACCATAAAATTTGGAGTTTTTAGAAGAATCACAAATCATTTCATAATTGTTGTCCCTCTATCCAAATCTTGAAAGAAAGGGATGCATGCCCTTTAATGTAATTTGAAATCCTTTTAAGCCAATTTTCTTGTTGATTGGAAAGTTGCAATTCAAGCATAAATAATCAACCAACTGAAGAAGTGATTTGTGATGAAATTTAGAGTCTGCATATTGTGTGAGTGAGTGAGTGAATGAGTGATATTTAAAGTGGTTTGATTTTAAACTACTGTGAACAGCCCTTGCATTTTCTTATGATTGGCTGTGCATGTATAAGCATGCATGGTCTACACTTCCATACCAGCCTGTAGTGATTATTGAGGTTCATATATGTTTTAATTTAATGAGAATTTATGGTTTTTGCCATTTTCTATGAACAATTGATTTCAGTACAAAAGAACCAAAATTGTATTCATATGACTCAGAGGGCTGAGTTATGGTACCAACCCTTTCAAACTTGTATGTTCTTCAATTTCTTCCATTTAAATAGAATTTGTTCGCCACAAGTGTTAAGTCGCTTGAGTTCTAGGGGCTTGAAGAGAATCTAAGGACAGTATATATGTGTTTGGAAAAATTAAGATCTCAACATTCTTTAATTTATTTTTAAAGTTTTCTTTCATTTGAATCTAACAATTTTATTTGCACCATCGAAGCTTTAAGCGAGCAATTCTGTTCCCTGGATTGGCCTTGAAGTACTTTATTTCCTCAATTACCAAGGAAAGAATAGCATCCTGTATGTAGTTTGGTACCAATTAAAACTCTCCAGCCTCATTTTGCTTAAGTCAAAGCGGTCGGAGACACTAGCCAAAACAAACTTTTGTGTACATATTGTATGTATTGTCAAATTGTGAAAATGTAAATGCAGCCAAGAGATGTTTTTGTTAATAATAATGAAGAAATATTCTGTATGATTTGTAACTGACTGAAAAGGAAATAGACTCCAAAATGTCCAGATTTTATTGATTCCTTCCACTCAAACCTCATACAGTATTCTGAACTTTTCAAGAGCACACGAAGTTTCTCAAAAAGCACTTTATTCATGTAAAGTTTGCATTGTGTTATAAATATAATGACATCACAAAAGAACACATGTTCAATAACAATGTTTTTTAAAAAATGTTAAAAATAGTGCAATTTTGGCTTCTAATACAATACCTACATAACAACAATATAATATAGTTTCATCAACCTTATTAAATATTTACCACAGACTGGGAATCTCAGTTCAGTATTCTGACCATTATAAGCAAAAGACTGGAAATATATGTCAACACTGCTAGGTATTTGTACTAACTATAATCTGAGCAAATAGCAATCTGACATGATAATCAAAGAGTACATAAATATACAATTCATTTCTGTTTCCAATTTTTAAAAAAGTACCAAATCACTTGCATTGAATTTAGCAGAAAGGACTTGGTATAAAGATAGTTATGCTTACAATCCTTTCTCATACTTGAGGAACAACTGAGTATCTTGCAACAAGAAGGACATGACATTTATCACATACCCGGGCAGGTTTTGGAAGAGAAGGCAGTGGCATGGTATTGTCTGAGCAAGCGTTGCAGAAGATATCACCACAGTTTCGGCAATGATGCTGCAATGAGAATTTGAAAGACATTAGGCATTGTAAAGACAGCACAATCATTTTCTGAATGTTAAAGAACAATGCTGAAAAGACAAAAGGGAATTGCGCCTATGGCTACCTTTCTTCTGGTCATATTGAATTCTTTGTCACATCCTTTGCAATGAGTAACTTCCTTATCACGCATCCAAGTGGCATCACTGATACCGGCACGTCGGGCATTGTCCACCTCCTCTTGTAAATCAGCCACTTGTAGTTTTGATACACGAAGTTGAGATCCCAGCTCCTCTAGGGTGAGCTCATGCTGATTGCACTGCTCTTTTAATGCATAGTAATCTTCTTGCAGGTTTACAAATTTCTGTTGAAGTAAGTAAAGAGAATTATTTAAAGGCAAGAACTTTCAGGATAAATGATGATAACTCTGCAAAATCTTACCACAGAAACTTCCCGCAGTTGAGTCAATTCCCTTTGAAGTTCAGCAATACGATTACGGTCTTTATTGACACTTTGCTCAAGGGACACACGCCACTCTCTTTCTACTCCAAGCTCCCCTTTCGCTCGAGTTCTTTCCTCTCCAGCTTCAGCTGATTCTTGCTGGAGCCTTGCAGCCTGGTTCTCCAAAGCACTACACGTCTTCAAGCATTCCTGGTACCTGGAGGCAGCAGGCAGCACCACATTATCAGTGAGGGTGTTGCAAAGCACAGGAGCAGAAAAAAATCATAATACAAAATGGAGGATAAAACGAATTCCCAAATTTCACCAGTGGTACAATTTAAGTGTTGTTCAAAATTTAATCTGGATGATTGATTGACCTTGTGGTACTTAATTAAAATTTAAGAATTACTATATTTTGGACAGGAAAAAAAAGCAGAGTTCAAGAAAGTTTAGGCACAATTTTTTTCTCACACCCTTTGATAACTGTTTTTTTGTTTGTGCCTGCGCCCTTAACCATTAATGGTTTATAGAGTAAAACAAAAAACTCAATGCTTTTTTCTTTCCAAAGGTAAGGCAAATTCTGATTTGATAGTTTTTTGTCTGCAGAAGAATGTGCTCTAGCTTGTGATACTATAGTTTTCAGAAATATTGTTTGTTTGTCTCCTAAAATTCTGAGGTGGTAGTAAAATTTTATAACTCTGTTGTGAAAATGTAAACCAAAACAAGAAGAGAAAGAAACAAAACTCGTCTAAACTACCTCATGCAAGAGAGTAAAAACGGTTGACAGTGAGTAGATAGATTTATTGGATATAATTGCTTCTACAGGCAGTAAGCATAACCAAATCTGTCAATACATGTCAGATGAAGCCAAACATTTACTTCCAGGTGTCACTCTTACTTGATAGGCTTATAAATCTAATATCACATACAAGTCTTAAATGTCAGTCTAAGAGAACACAAAGCATATTGGCAATACTGGCGGCGGCGGCGACTGCAGTCAAGTTAATGCCAATACCTCCCATTACTTGTACATCTCCTACATTTCCATCTTTGTCCTTTAAGAACAGGCCCTTTCCCATCTTTAAAATGCAAAAATCTTTGCAAAACATCATCTCTTAACAAAAGCAGCATTATTTTGAAGACGCATTGATAAATTACAAGAAAGCATTTACTTTACGCCTATAATGGAAAAAATTTGGTTTTGTTCCATATTTAATATTGACTACATAATTTTTTATTTAAGTACCACTGTTCCCAAGAGCCAATGGCCAAATGAAAGTTCCTTGCGAGACCTCGATGTGTGCTCAAGATAGCTTAACACTGAACAAGAAATTGATTATTCCTCTTAGTCCAAAGGGAACTATGCAGAATATACAGCAGACAAAAGAAGTCATAAATGATCGATGTTCTATTTTTTAACCTAAGATTGATGCTAAAGCTCATTAATTTATAGATTCATCCAGCATGGCCAGATTGATTTTGGTTTGGCCTTTTTTCCTTAATGTCCTACATAGTATGAAAGAGTGCAAAAGTTGGGATTCAATCTCAATCCATAGCATTAAATATCATGATTTTTTTCTTTAACATAAAATGAGACATAAAATGAGAGTAAATGAGTATAGCAATAACATACTTCTCATCCAGTCTCTGCACAGTGTCAGTCATTTCTACACTCTTGGCTTCCAGTTTAGAGATTAGCTCCGTTTTGTGCTTGAGAGAACTGTCACACTCCTAAAACAAAATAACAGCCGACTATCATCCCATTTCCACAATTCAACATTCAATAATCCAGTTCTCATCAGAGATGAAACGCAGTTGCAATATTTATGATCTTTCACAAGCAAATATCAAATACTGAAAAGTAATATTAATCCAGTACGCTATGAAACAATGTACTTTCAAGGCACAAAACAAATGAAATTTGCAACTCTGAACTTTAAAACACAAGTCAATCCTGAAAGTGTGCAGGGCATGAAAACAAGACAAAACTATCACATTAAAAATATGAACACAAGAAAGACATGAGGAAAAGAAAGAAAGATCATTAGTAAGGCAGAAAAACGAAGAATGCTCCATATCACAAAAGGAAGAAATACATGCAATGAGTTCACATAGAGCAGCCAATGTTAGAAGAAAATGGAGCCATAAAGCAAGACATTTAATATGAAGGCTACATTATTCATTTCTGTGGGTCATTCAGAGATAACATGGGTTTTGATTGACTAGGTGTGGTTGCTTTCCCTCCACCAGATTGGTTAGTATTTGATGTTGGTGTCTTCATACTGGAGCCATCAAATGGAGGAATCGGTGCAACTCTGTAGGCACTTGAAGGAGTCGCTGCTTTGTTGGAACCTGTTGGTGTGTTAGATGAGGCTAATGGTGTTGTTGGGGAGAAGAGAGGTAGAGTAAGAGGTTGCCCTCTGGAATCCTTCACTCCATTACATTTCTGCAGACCATTCAGAAGGTTGCCTATCTGAATGGTTTTCGCCTGAAGACGACTCACCATCTCACCCTTTTGGGTCAGTTCTTGTTCACACTCCTGCGGTAAAGCATGCTTGTCATCAAAATGAACTAAATTCTACGCAAAAAACCACCCCATGAAATATTCAGGACAGAATAAGTTGATACCAACATCAAACTATGTTTTGGTTTAGAGGAAGATAAAATACAGAAAGAAAAGAGAAAATATTTCACCAAATTTCCAGGTGGTAAAAAGACAAAAAAAAAAAAAAAATGAAAATTTGGTGAGTAAAAGATATGGCAATCAGTTGATCGTACCTGTAACTTCTTATACATGTCAAGATTGATCAGTTTTATGTCCTCCAGCTGCCTTCTCAAAGAAATCACGGTATCCTGCTTTTCATGAATATCTTTCTCCAACAGCTTCATTGCTACCTCCATTTCAGCTCGCAGACTTATCTGTCATAGAAATTCACCAAAATGTTGTTATGAAAAAACAATTTTAAATTTTGCACAAGGTTGAGATCACTAAAAATGAATAAGTTACCTGTATATCAAGTTCCTTTTGTAATTCTGCTTTTTGTTTACGTTCAGCTGCAAGCTGTTGTTTTATTTCATCAACATCATTGGAGCTATCCGAAGATTTTTTTGATATTGAATCAGCATTGGCCTGCAAAGGCAAAGAAAATAAATGATGAAAATAAGGACTAAGGATGACTTATGATTTATTCTTCTTTTTGTTCTTAATTTTCTGTACCATACTACTCACATCATCAGGAGTTTTAGACAATGGTACAGATCCGGACTGAGCTGAGTCTAATTCTCGCTTAAGACGATTATTTTCCTCAAATAACGACATGAGACCATTTTTGGATATAGCTAGATCTTCCTTCATTAGAGCATTGGTAGTGCTGAGTGTTTCAACCTTTGCTTGTAGATTAGTCACAGTAGCACTAAGAAAGAAAAAGTGTTAGTAAAAATGAGTGAGCAAATCCAATGGGTCCTTGCCCAAAGATAATTATTATATATTGAGGCTTAATCCTACTTTAGATGCCTGTTTAGTTCCTCTATATAATTTTTCTGATCAAGCACTGTGCTCATGTTGGAATGATTGTTGTCAGGATGATCAGGGTCAGTTGAACTGACAGCATGTTCACCAGGACAATGATGAGTTGATCTCAAATACAACGAGAAATCTATAACACCTTGTGGACAGTCTAAGTCTTCCTCCTAACGAATGATAAAAAGGAACCCATAAATCAAAAATAAATTTAAAGTATTAACAGGAAAATGAAAAACAAATGTTGCTTGTACCCACCTTCACACATAAATTACAGTCTATTACATTTAAACCAACCAAGAGGCCCATAATTACTATAGCTTCATCACACATGATAAGAGCGTCTGGTTCAAAGTAATCCCTCAACACATCATCTCTGTGATCAATTAATACTTTCAGGTAGTCTGCAAGTTTCTTCTGCATTAACGCAAGCCTTAGCCATGCCCGCGCTCGACCCATTGCTGTCCTGTTGAGAAAATTATTTCAAAGGTTTAGAACAAAGAACATTACTAGTTTCAAAGAATGACACATCAGGAAGAAACAAACCTAACGGTGGGAAGGTCTCTAACACTACTTGTGATATCTTGCGCCTCTGGTGTATACTTTTCCACCAATTGTAAAATATCCCATAACTCCTTTTTGGGACCTAGTAAGCCCTGCAAGATTGGAAAACGAAAAAAAAATTAACGTGAATTGGAAGGAAAAACAGGAAAAACGTAGGGGTTTTTTCTTATTGAAACAGCTGTAGCTCTTCTCAGCAATAAATGTCCAGAAACAAGGAAGCAGAAATAAAGCACCTTTTTGGGGCGCAGCCCGTGTCGCAGCACGTGCTCCAGCACGATGAAGAAGTGCTGCAGGGGCATGTGGTCCGAGTCCAGCATGCGGCCGTACTTGAGCGATGTCTCGATCAGCTCCTTGACGATCAGCTTGGAGATGTTGAGCAGGTTGCTGCGCTCCACGGCGGCCGGGTCGCGGGCTGCAACACACAACGAGTGTTAGCGGGGCCCACGGCGAGGCCTCGGGGGCGTGGCGGCGTGGCGGCGGGACCGCTGGACGGACGCAGCCTTACTCAGCATGCTCAGGAGCATGGGGCCCGGGTCGTCGGGGGAAGGCGTGGAGAAGGCAGGCGACAAGCTAGGGTTGTCCGCCCCGCCGGGCTCCAGCCTGTCCAGCTCCAGGCCATCCTGGTCGAGCTCCTTGAGGCACAGCCACTCGCCGTCCACCGACACGCGGAAGTTGCACAGGTAGATGGTGTCCTGCGCACCCGGGATGCCCGCCACGGCGGGGGCTCCGTCGTGCAGCTGGCGACCCGCGGTCGGGTGCGCCACCTGGGGGCCGTGGGGGCCCTCGAGCGCCACGGGGTGCATGCTGCCGCTGCTGCTGCAGTGCCCCTGAGGGTGTGCCGACGCCCCTACGGCATGGCTCTGCGACGTCTGCGACTCCGAGCGGCGGGCGGGAACGTCGGCAACGTCCGGGACCCCCTGGAGAAGGTCCGGGCGCACCAGTCGCGCCCCGAGCGCCTCAATGATGGTCCTCGTTTAGCCGGGCCGGGTTGCTACACAACAACGGGACCGCGGTGGCCTGTTAGAGAGAAGCGGTCGGTGAAAATAGTGAGCCAATCTGAGAGAGGGCGTGGGAGTGGGAGCGGCGGATGGCTTCTCGTGTGTCGGGTCACTTTGGCGGGCGCGACATTTAAAACTGGGGCGGCATTTGGTGGATGGCATAAGCCTGCCAACGGGCACTGGCCCATCATCGGCGGATCAGCCCATCGGGAACACTAGATGCAACAGACGGCCATCAAGGACACGGCGGACAGGCGACGCCGCTCTGGGACGGACCGAGCAACCGGACAAGCAAGTCGCACTGAATCGGAACAAGGGAATTGAACGGGTAGGCGGGGATACCCGCGATGTGGAAACCCTTTTACCCGCGGCACCTGCCCAGGCGGCGAGGCGGCGCGAGAGGCCACGGGGGGTGTCAACAACGGCAGCGCGCTCGCGGCCTGCGCGGCCTGCACGGTGGGTCACGGGGACGAAGCCATCCGCCGGACCAGTTAGCGGGGTACGGCGAAGTCTTTCTCGTACTGCACCTGGACGACCGGGACGACCTGCACACAACCAGCAGCACCGCGACCCCCTCAAGGCTCTCGTCGAGGGGAAAAGGGCTCCTGGAGCAGACGACAACCACAATGGCGGACACGGGGCTAGCCAGGGCGCCAGGGCTGTGCACACTGTGCACGGGGCGCCGTGGGGTGGGGCAGCGAGGGTCGCGCCGCTCGGGCCGCTCGGGCCGGCAGAGGGGTGCTTCCCAGCAGTGTTTCGTCGCTCGGTCTCCCTCGCACCCCTACGGCAGGCCACACGAGTGCGAGCCGGACGGGGCGACCAACGCACGGTTCGGAATCAGCCTGCTGGCCGGGTCGATACTGCCGCCGCCGTCCGACTACGTCCGACTACGTCCGACCCACCCCCCGAAAGAGAGGGCATGAGGGTGGGGCGCGCGGTCGGGAAAGTCGGGTCCGTCCCGAGTGCAGCCCTTCGGTACCCTTCGATGAGGGTTGGGGACTAGAGGCGCCACTAGAGGCGCCACCGAGCGGGCGCCACCGTCGAAGGCGCGGATCCAGGACTTTTGCAAGGAGGGGGTGAAGTAATGCTTTTTGCCGACCAAAGGCGCTAAGCGATGCTCCCTGCCTAGCTTCCAGGCGGCCTATCTAGTCAAAGACAAAGGGCTAACTACCCCTACCCCTCCCCTGCACGGCCACCGGGACGCAGCGGGCGGGGAGAGAGAGGCAAACAGTCTGACGATTCAGAAGAGTCGTCTTCCTGCTCTGTCTCTGTCACACTCATGGGGCTCTCCATAAGAGTGCGGGAGAGACAGACAGACCGACATACAGCTCTTCTTGGCTGGATGTTTTAGAGTCTCTCTCAAGAGTCGACATGGGAAGAAGGTGGGTGATGTGAGCAAGCAGCAGGGTCTCTGCACACCAGAGGGATTACAGGATGTGAGGGCGCTCTGATTTTTTTGTTTTTTTTTTTACCATTTTGCCGACAGTCACTAAAACTCAGATGCTCACAATGAAAACAAGCAAATAAGGTTCACATACACGTTCTCACACCAAATCAAAGAACATTGAAGTACACAACCTGAACACTAACAAATACTAACATATAAAACAAGCTGAAAATAATGATTTAAAAACTGTTGCAAAACAATGTCATGAGCAACATTGGTAGACACAGTACACTTGAAAAGGCATGACAAAGAGTGGAAAGGACAGATAATAAACAAAAACAATTTTTCAAACTGAACGAAAGCACAGAACCAAGGACAGTGGCAAAACAGATAATATTTTAAAAAGCAAGCATCCGCAAGAGCATTTCAAACAAGTGACACATATAAAATAAATTAAAAAACATGCTTTGACAGCTGGAAAAAAAATGGGATGGAAGCAAAATTTTACCCTCAATCTGAAATATTAGAGCTGCACATGGAAACGCCTAGTGTAACACTGCAACCCGCATACACAACGCAACCTGACAACGTAAACAAAGAGGAAGTAAGGTTAGGTGGCGCGGCGTGAGACCTGAGATACGGCGGGGACCACGGGGAGCATTCCACCTCGGACACGACATTTCAAGAGGAGGTCAAACAAAGTAGCCACGTCGTGTTCGAGACGACGCTGTCCGCCCCAGGGAGGAGAATTGGAAAAGAAAACGGAAGTCGCCTGTCACTCACCATTCTTGTACTGGCGCACTTTGGACCTGTTCCGGGACACCAACAGCTCGGGCCAGCTGTCGAAGCGCAGGGACGAGATGGACGGCGACCGCGAGATCGCATTTTCCTCGAACGAATCCTGCGCACCCACACTTTCTCTATTTTCTTTAGCACTTGGCCCTGAATCCGGACTGCCAGCCGCCGCCGCCGCCATTTTCAATAATAATAAAACAAACGCCTTCTAAGAACATCTGTTGAATCGGGAACGCCCCCCCAGTATTCGCAGGACAGGCCCTGTACTGCGAACTGCGAATAACGGAGAGAGAGGGAAGTCGTAAGTCGGATGTCCATTCCCGCCCCGCCGGAAAGGCTAGATGGAAAGCATGGAAAGAGAATCGCAAACAGCAAAATAAATGGACTCGTTTGCTGCAGTGTCCTGCGATGTCCGAAAAATGAAAAAAATTAGCGGAACGAAAGGAAATTGGCCTTCTGCAAAGAAAGTGGGGTGACGATTTTCATCGACACAATTTGTTTTTATTTCGTTTCATTTCACCAACCATTCTTCACGTCAGCGAAACTTGTCAGGTTCTTATCAGACTTGTGTGATGTGAGATGCTTTTGTTTTTCTTCGTGCTATTGATCCCGTACCGTTTTATCTCCATTTCCCGTTCATGGCATTGGAGGTGTCAGATCAGCGGCGAGTTGCCTATCTCTATCTTTCTCTCTACCTCCTATCTGTCCGCATTACATTGCGATTGTTCCTGTGCATTGCGTATATTTTTTACGTACATGAGAGCGCCTGTCAGCAATATTTTTTTTGTCATCCTTATTTTTTTGTCGGCACGACACTGTAAATCATTTTTAACACTTTTGAAACAATCAAAAATACCGAGTTTGCAACTCCCACGATTTATAAGCACTCTGGGGTACAGTTATTGTAATATTTCACTATAACGTCTAAACAGTATGCATTGTTGCAACATTGCATTACTGTGTTTCTTACTGCGAAATGTGAAATGCGAAGTGCAGTTTGAATGATAGTGTAAGAGCTCTTATAACTGATGAGACTTTGTACAATGGGCAGTGGCCAGTCCAATATGCCGCAGATAAGTGGCTCGTGAAGGCGATCTTGTTGTCGAAGCGTCTACTGCGCAGTTGCTGCACGACGGGTGGTATAACGTCAAAGACAGGCCCATGTGAATGGCCAGCTCGCTGATTCCGAGAGCCGTTTTCGTCGCTGCGTCGCTCTCGCACCTACACGGGGCGCGCATGAGTGCGAGAGAGACGGAGCGGCGAAAACGACTCTCGGCATCAGTGTGCTGAACGAGGCCCACGACTGTGTCAACGAGGAGCTCGGGGCGAGCACGGCGAGCACGGCGGCGAGCGCCAAGGGGAGCTCCTCCCTCCGCCACCGCGCCACCGCCGCCGTTTTGGGCTTATGTGTACAGACAGGCACACGGCCTACAGCACCTCTGTCTCTCTCGCACTTGTGGGCCGTCCTTTAGAGGTGCGAGAGAGACAAGGCGACGAAGCGCTGTCCGGAGTCGGACCGCGGCGCGAGCCAGCAGGCATGCAGGTCTGCAGACCCCCAGCGGGGCCCAGCGGGGAACAACAACTACAATAACGCTGACAGGTGCAAAGCAAAATGGGCCGGAGCGACGACGCCATTTCGTCCTGGCTGCGTCTGGCTGCGTCCCTGGCTCGCAAATCGGTGCGACGCTGTCAATTGGGACCAAGGAGAATCGGTGACGTCATCCAGCGTCGGCAGTGCACGGCCAGCCAATGGCAAGGCGCCGCGACGCCGTGGCTGCGCCGTGATAGGCAATCGTCTCGCAGCCTCGGCCGCGTGACTTGTGAGCCTCGAGTCAGCCATCGTCGCTCTGTCTCTCTCGCACTCAAGGGGCGTTGCCCACAGGTGCGAGAGAGACAGAGCGACGCAACTGCAGCCACGTGAGCGCGACGGGTCCGACCAGAACCCCCGCTAGGGCCGTTCCGTGTTGCGGTATAGTTGTTTTTTTTTTGTTTTTTTTTTTTTTCAAAAGATAAAACACGAAACATCTTTGTCTGCGCTCGCTCTCACACGTGGGTTTGAACAAGATAGTCGAAGCGGGAACCTCTGCATTATTGGCACAGCAGAGGGACCGCAAACACGTGCAGCTGTTCGGGTCGCCTCGCGCTCGAACCGACTCAAACGTGACGCAGCTTCCGTTCAAGGTCTGTGCCGCTCCAGTCGCAGCGCAAGGTGCGCGCGCTGCCGTGCACCCGCGGAGCAGCTCTTCCAGTCGTCGCTCTGTCTCTCTCGCACTCGTGGCGCGTCCCACCGGCCTCGTGGGGGTGCGAGAGAGACAGAGCGACAATCTGCAGCAGCACGAGCTGTTTTCCTTTTCCTCCGCCCCTCCAATTTTCTTTTCTAACCACCGCCAGGACACTCGGCGGGCGACCCACTTCTCCACATCCTCCGCTAGTTCTCAGTTCCCGCCACGCGGCTCGCGGCACGCGGCCTGTTGTTGTGGTGCGGGGGCCGCGGGGCCGCGGGGACGCCGGGACACGTGACTCCGCGGCGTGCACGTGACCAACGTGACGACCCCCCTATCACCAAGCGGGACGGCGCGGGGCTCTGAGGCGGCCGACGTCGCCCCGCAGACCGAATCGTCGTCGTCACTCCGTCTCTCTCACTCATGCGGCGCCCCGTGTAGGTGCGAGAGAGATAGAGCGACGAGAACGACTCTCTCAGTCGGGTGAGAGACGAGGATGGAGGAGAGGCTGCCTTCGACGCGCCCCACGAGTGTTGCCCCCTGGAACGCCCCGCCCCGCCCCGCCCGCCCCGCCCGCCCGCCCCGTCCCGCCCCATCCTGCCGCCCCGCCCCGCCCCGCTGCAGCCGGTTCGGACGACCACGAGCCGGACCGACAAGGCAGCATTGGGCTTCCCTCCCATGGGTCACTGCGTGGCGTGCAACTCGGGAAACTGTGGCGCTTTCCACCTCCATTGTCAATTTCTCAAAGCAGACCCAAAGTTCCGAAAAAGAGTTTTTTTCTGCGCGGAACTCCAAGGCGCGCTCGGTGCTCGGTGCGATCGTCCGAGATAAAGAAATGGTCGAAAAACGTGCACGACTGAGGTCAATATTGAAATAAAAGGCCGATGAGGCAGAGCGGGGCGGGGCGGGGCGGGGCGGGGCCCTGCCCGTTCACCTCGCACGTGGCGACGACGCTTTATGTTTTGGCTGGGGATTTTTTCTTATTTTTTCAGCCGGCTGGGGCCCCCTTCTCGCGGTACCGTCGCGGAGCAAGACGCGATTGGGGGAGAGGAACGGGAACGATTGGACGTTGCCCCGTTGACTGTTCCGCCGTTCGCTTGGCCGTTCCGGCCTGCTGCCGCGTGATTCGTACACTGTAGGCCCTTGACTAATTCCGAGTGGGGGTCTCTCCGAGGGGTCTCTCTCTTACACTCACAGGGCGCTCCGTATCGGTGCGAGAGAGACAGACCGACGACGTTGTCCCCACAAACCCGTCTCGCCGGGCCAATTA